GGCCTTGTTTGACACCTAAAAAATGGGTTTTATTTTGGACAACATTTTTGTTTTGATAGTATCTCTCGCTATAGACCTAATTTCAATCATCCCACCATTGAAGTTAAAAATCAATGTATTGAGAAGATACCACCAAAGAACCAGCACGATCCAACGGCTAACGAGTTCTCTAGAGGCCCATAAAACACCTAAAAAATTTGTTTTTTGTGGATTTAGTCCCACATCTAAAAAAAACTCAAAGGAATAAGTCCCACATCTAACGATTCTCGAAGGATTTTGCCTCCTAGATGGTTATATAAGTAACCCCTTGACAAGGGGAATACACACTTCTCTCCCCCTCAGAATTTCTTTGAATAGTTGAGAACAGTGTTATGAGAATTTTTTATTAAGCGATCCTTGATATATTATAAGGATTTTGGAATCTTCTAGTTTAAATTTTTTTAGAGTTTTGTGAGTTACTAGAGTGTTAGAGGTTGCCAAATTGCACCTTCAAGTTTTGAAGATTTATAAAAGCCTTACTTTGGAGGTTCTTATTTTTAATCTTTTCTCTGTTTATCACTTTATTTATTTGTTTAAATGCTTTATATGTGATAAGTATGATTTAGAATTTTTAGGCATAATATAATTAATTTGTATACATGTTTTAATAAATAGGGGTAAAAATGTAAACTAAAATATTATTTTGTTAATAAATTTTTCATAGGGTACTAGTTTTAGGCGTTGTGGGGTGGATAACATATTCTCCTTAAGTAATTGACCCTCCAAACCCAACTCTGGTTGTGAAGGCCAAAGCTGAATTTACGAAAATATTTTCTTTTTCGATGTTTTGAGTAAAATATCGATGGTGACTCTGTGAATCTGAAACACCTTTTCGAAAACCACCAGTGGAGGTTTAATCCAGTTATTGGGCATTCTGAAACTGGTGAGATTTTTAGGGCTAACCATTAATTCATGTAGAACCTTCCCTAGGAAGGAACATGATAAATCAACATGTATGTTCTTTTGGGAATCTGGTCACAACAGATGGCGACTCCACTTGGGACAAGCTAAGAGGGTTAGACCCATTTAGTGTCAAATTTATTAAAAAATTATAATTTTGAATTTAAATTTTTACCCCTTCATTATTTGTAAATAACTATTTTTAGTTTGGCTTTAATAAACTGTTATTTGTTACATTTTTATATTTTGTGAAATACAAATTCTATACAACTTTTGCACAGAACAGTTCCTCCTATACTCGGAGGCATGAGTGGTAATCTTTAAGGAGTGGATAACATACTGCCGGTTGTAGACGGGTCTTCGCTGCTCATAGGTCATTGTCATAAATTATTGCTCAATGTGATAACTAGTTACCTCAATCTAGCACTTGGAGAGACCACCAACATCTATCATCTGGACTTTCGGCTTGGTGTAGATACTCCATGTTGATGCCCTTGGTCACTTGTTCGGTGATGGAGTGATTGAGGTTTTATTCAAAGCTTGTTGAGGAATGAGTATATTATAAGCTCAACCTCTCCAGGTTGGACTGATATTAAGGCTTTAGCTGGCCTTTGAGTATTTCTATGTGGCCTCTCTATCTCTAGGCCTACAAAGTTAAGTATTTCTACACGACCTCTCCAAGCCTACAAAGTTGAGTATTTCTACGCGACCTCTCCAAGCCTACAAGGTTGAGTATTTCTACACGTCCTCTCCAAGCCTAAGGTATGTAGATGTCAATGCCCTTTGTGAAGGTGGACGTAGTAACCTTTGACAGGATTGTACTCTGGTAATCTTGGAGTCATTTGTTGATTTGAGGAACTCGGTGGAGTCCTTCCATTGATGTATGTGGAGTGTCCCTAGGATTGACAAGTAGGGAATGCCTAAAATACCCCTGTTTTAGGGTGAGATTAGTAAGATGTTGGTGATGCCCTGCTAGGTGAGTATTATAATGCCTTTCTAGGCATCTGGTATTAGGGAATGGATGGATGGTAGAGACTCTAATGTTGCCTCTACCATGTGAGTATTGTGACGCCTCTTCAAGATCAAGCATGTTCTATGGATTTCTCTAATTGATTGGTTGGCAAGAAACTTGTGTTGTTCTTGCCAAGGTGAGTATTATGATGTCTCTGCAGGCATCTGTCGTGGATGTTGGAGTTTTGGGAGGACTTCTACTGATTGTCTGCTTGTGGGAGCAGGAGAGCTCCTGAGATATTGGTGTGGTGTTAAGGGTAGATGTGACTTGTGGATATCGTGGTTGACACGTGGATGGTTCTAATCTCCATTCGATTGTTTGATTTTATCATGAGATGAAATTGTTGATGTAGGGTAACCTTTCCCCTTGCCTATGGTTGAGTCTCCATGATGAGGATTCTTCTAAGCCTTAAGTTCGTTACTATTTTTCAGCTTTCGCTTTTCTAGTGTGGAAGTTTTGCCTTTTTCTATGTTGTTTATTTTCTTCTTGTTTCCAATTTTCCCTTTATTCAAAGTACAAATGATGGATGCATGCTTCACTAGAATATCTAAATTTTAATTGCTTATTTGTAGATAATTTCCCTTAGATGTGAATTTTTTTAAATATGCATTTCAGGTATACCACGCATGTTCAATATGTCTTTTTAGGTGTCCCCTGTAATCCAATGACCTTTCAATTATCCTTCAAGCATGACTTCTTTTGATATTGTATTTTATTTTATTTTATTTTATTTGTGGAGCACCATGGAACCTTCTAAGGAGTGGTCCAAGAGAATAATTTTTTATTTGAAAAGAATGAAAAGTACGTAAAATTAAAAGCAAACATAAATTATAAGATTTTTTGTTCAAGCTAAGTTGCAGGTTTTTTCTTCCGATTGGAGTCTTCCCTTCACCACCTCCATGTGGATGATCATAACTATTACTCTTACTACAGAATCTAAATTCTAAATCTTAAACGTTTAACTTACCAACATTTAGATTTGATTTTATTGCTTTACCCCACATTTCCCACTAAAGGGTCAAATTGAGTGAATATAATCTAATCGGTATAGGATAATTCTTTCTTTGTTTTGGTTTGGGAGATTTCAAACAATAATTTTAACTTTAATTTTAGTTAAAAAAAACAAATAATTAGTTTACAACATAAAAGAAATTTATAAATATGTGATATCCTATATGAATTAGTTATATATGAATTAATCATATATCTAAAATTAACTAATATTTTATATAAAAATTATCCTGTTACAACTGTAAATTTATATTGAGATTTAAAAAACAGTCCTTCCCAATATTATGACTTACCTATATGTTGAATCACTTTCCCCTTATTCAATTATTAGTTGATGCTCGACTTAAAAGCCAACAATTCCATCCTTATTATTATTTTTTATTTTTAGTCATTCATTGAAAATCTTTTCTCCAAAAACAACCCCTATTTAGCTATTTAAAAGATTAATTTAAAAAAAAAACAAAAAAAATAGCTCTACTAAATTCAAAAGGCTGGAAAATTAATTTCTTTGCTTGGTCATTTAATGTTCATAATCTCAATTATCTTTTAAATCTACTAATTAATTGCAGTTTGATTGCTGATTAACTAATTAATTAATTAAAATACAAAAGGTGTGATACCCTCTATCCATATGGTATCAATTAATATCAATAAATATATTTGCAAAATTAAAAGAAAACTTGTAGAATTTTTTAAATGTTTTTTAAAGTATAAAGTAAAGATTATCTCCTCACAACTAAACTAAATTTAAACGTTTTTATTTAGGAAAAGCTAAAAAACAATAAATAAGATTTGACACTCTAAAGTGCATACAAATTCTTTTTATAAACCCAATACTAAATTATAAAATAAACATATCTATATCAAAAATAGAACTTAACAACTAAAACTTATTATCTTGAAGTCACGTTCTATCAGAACAAGCCCTAAAACACAATTTTTCTATATTTTCTTCAAAACAAAATGAAAGTAATGTATGTAGATTTCTTCAAATGAGTATGGAATTTATCTTATCTATTTTCTTTTTTGTCAAAACCACATATATTCCCCCTGGTTAAGATAAAATAATCTCACATTAGCTTATCAATGGGCTTGGTGGTATACGTGGTACCTTTATCTAGATATATGTATGGCCACAAATTACAAAATTATTATAAATATCATATAGGTCACTCGTCATCCATAAACTCAGTCCGAGGTAAAGATTTTAAAATTTTCTCTTTTTTGAGGATAAAGATTTTAAACTTTGAAATATGGGATTACGTAAAGTTTACATAGCAACTAAATACATTACATTAGTTTTAATGGTCATGCTAGGTTAATTAAAAATCATTGTTAGCATGACTTTTAAATAAGTTTCACAAAAAACAACATATTTACCATATATAGTGACTATTAAATTAGTTTCGCAAAAAACAACATATTTACCATATAGTGTTTTGTAATTAGACTACAATAATGCATAACCTTTAGGACAAAATATCCCCCCCAACAACGAACGTGCCAGTTCTTAAGAATATATAAATCGCATTAATGTCCACCAATGTCAATCGACGAAAGGATCCAATGCATGTTTAAGAACTAACATGACCAACATTATTTGTAACTTGACTAACTTCTACTGCTACTGTCAAATTTCTATTAGTTCTAAATTCTAACGTATGCACACTGAATTTCTTAGGAAAAATTTAACGTTCCATTCATTTCTAGCTTATTTATGACAAGATAGTTTTGTGAACAAAAGGTATGCATATGTATATGTTTGCTCTACTAATTAATAATCATTATCCTTAACCAACCTAATTCAAAGTTTTGCTAACGTTACCTCGAGCATTATCTTAAAAGTTAAGTTGGATCTAATTCAACCTAAATAGCTAATTAAACTAACTCATCCGGTAATTTTCCCCTGGACAATGATTAATCAAACCCATTTTATGCAAGTCAAGCTAAGCTCCCATGTTTGGTTGAAAATTTTCAAAAGTTGTCACAAAAAGAAAACAGTTGTTTTTCTTAAATAAATAAATCCAAACAAGCACAATAGCTAAAATTTGATAAGGAAAATTTAATGCATGGATTCTAACACATTTTCCTGATATTCCTTGAATTGACCATAATCTTTAGCATTTCTCTTTATACCTTAATTGTTCTTTCCTTTAATGAGAATAAATAAAACATAAATGCAAAATGAAAGATCACGAAGAAACTAATGGTGTGGTGCTGGATTCTGATGCCATGAAATTCACCGATCGTAAACCTGGTGGACAATAGGCATTGATTGCATTCTCGCAATTCAACTCCAATAGACCATACTTTTCATCAAGTTCATCATTTTCAGCAGCATCCTAACCGTAACATTAAATACAACTTCAGTAAGATCTAGCAATTCCCTTCATATATAAATAATAACACAATGTGTACATCATATTCATACATGTAATGATCAATTTCAAAACTCGTTAAAATTTATCATCTTATGCCCTTAACAGAACTGGTTATGAAATCAATAATGTTTTTTTTTATTTTTATTTTTTTATGTCGGGATGTATTAATAACATTTTTTAATAAATTTTTTCTACTTTTGTTTTGGCTGCTCAACCAAGGGGCACTCGTTAGAATTTGCCTTATTTTAAACCATTGTATATATAGCCTTGTCCTCATTGTTAATTGTGAGTTGGAAGTGTACCTTAATAAAATAATGATGAAACGACGGGAGAAAACGCATCTTGCAGTACTCATTAAACATCCATGTGAACAAAATTAATGGAATCGTTGATATAGAAGCAGCTGGTTTTAGCTTCAGCCCAAATAAACCAATCATGGTAATCTGCATGAAAATGATTGCAAGGAGAATGTAGTGATGAATGTGTGGCCAATATTGTCCACATGTTTCGTAAGTAGTTTCATACACATCTTGAATCTGCATAGATAAGTTTTATACTGCTTAAGACAACATTCATAGAAAACAAAATAGGTAGTGCCAGTGTGTGTGTTAATTGCAGATTTTCCCTTGCTAATGGATGCCTTTTCATACTTCATCAAAAGGGAGATCTGACTGCTGAATCAAACTCTAAATAATGAGATTTCTTAAGTACTAAAAAAGAAACTTGTACAGGTTTCAAGTTTCAACAATTGCATGTATAGAATCTATTACCAACTTGCATGATACAATCTAACTTTCATTCAGATGCTTTTTTTTCAGTGTGAACAATTGTAGACTGACACAGAATACACAATAAAGAATCTGTAAAAGAGCATTTTTGTGAGCCTGTGAATTTGTTTTATAGAACACAAGAAATGGATGTTTGAAGATACTGATAAACTCACCTGGTTGACATAGACAACATAGCCTAAACAGAAGTAAACGATTAGAAATGGGAGCAACAATGGCGCCACTACTGCATATACAATGCCAATTAGAAATGAGAGAGAGACTAAAGGGATTATTCTAAAATAAGGCAATGAATAAAGGTAAGGAGTTTTCTCTCGTTGACAGCCATAAATACAAGACTTAAAAAAATCCCAAATTAGTAGGCCAGGCTGGAGAACCTCCAAAGAAAACCCAGACAGACCATCAGTCAAGATATATGTCACAAAGAAATCTGCCTGGAACAAGTAGAGAAAAGTTTAACTCATTAGAAGACTATCCAAATGTAAGCAAATTAGGAAAAATTATTGGAAGATAAAATAATTCTTGAAAATGTGCCTTAGTCATTGATAGAAACAGCCTTAAAGCTTCAATATTCAACATTTTTCAAAAGCATTACGAAGGGAAGAAATAAGGTTAAGAAGCAAGTTAGACAGAATATGTCGGAGTAACAGAAATGAAAACAACATACTTGGGCAGAGACTGCTCTGGCAAGAAGACCTGGAAAATTTTTGGGATGACTAATAAAGTTTCCAATTAAATCAAGAAGTGATCCTGATAACACACTCCATAAGAACACATTTCCAACCAGAAAGTAGAAAACCATGTTGCAGGCTTTGATCTCCTCCTTACTTCTTGCTATACATCCAGCTATTTTAGCCATAGCAAACATTGTAAACGGCACAATATATATAAATCCTTTGAGTACAGCACTCGGAAGGTAACCTGTCACTACAGAGCTTAATCCTGGTCTGATAAATGAGCAATAAACTGTTTGTCAGAAAAAAGATACGTAAACTCTATTTTCTACATCAAGAATCTAGTCAATATATTACATAGTATAAGACCTGAAACATAAATGAAGAGATGCATGCTTGTATACAAAATTATTTGTAAATTTTCTTTGATCTTTTCAATAATGACAAAACCTTTCAATTTCTTCATCATACGCTCCAACTTAATTTACTTTTATATTAATTGATTGTGAAGTTACAGGAAAATTTTCTTTAAAGATTCTGGAATCTTTTTGCATAGAGTAGTGCTACATAATTGGAAACCCTGACAAGATCCAGCCATAATATGTCAAGATTCACAGATGGTTGTTGGATAAATCGAATTGCAAAAATGTCAACTCATTCTGAAAACTATTTTGGTATACAGCATTTTCCATTTACATATCCTTCCTTTTGTTAATAGTTTTACTATTGTCCTCACCAATCATGAGAGAACTTGTAGAATAAAGAAATTCTATGTAGAAATAGGAGTTAAGGAAGAAATTCGATAGAAACGTGAAAATGTGTTCATTGAATATTTATACCGATGTACTAGGAAGAGAGGCATCAGGAAGGACAGGTTCCCCTTATTTATACACCTTAATTATCTTATTCATATGCTAGAGTCAACAATTCAAATAGAAGCCAATTGAAGATTCATATTTCATAATAATCAGTGAGAGAAAAAACATGTTACATATAAGCAATATTCACTTTATGTTTTGCCAGTTCACAAGTATTTTCTCCAATCATACCTGCATCAAAACTCCCAATAATTTATTGAACTATAAAATAAATAAAATGTATGCAATAGTTCGATATATAACCAAAATGGAATAAAAGTCCGAGAAAATGTTTTATGTTTATTAATTATCAAAAGGGCACATGATTCTCACATCAGTTGCACAGCCATGGCTGGAGGAAACCATTTCTTTAGTTTCTCATATTTGGCTATTCCTTGAACAGCAGTAACTGGTATGGCAAAGAAAACTGTAAGCAGTGATGCTGCAATGAGAACACATAGTTTATAAAGTGGAACTGCTCTGTAGGATACTCTCATATTCCTCCATGAAACATCCCTTGGTTCTGGGGCTAGTTCAGTGATCCAAAGAAGTGGATGTGAATGCTGTTGCAAATGAGCTGCTGCTGCAGCACCCGAACGAGACTTGAATGTTACGAAAGCAACAGGCAACTCCTAATGAAAGAGAAAATTCAAGATACTTTGTTTTCAGCTTTTGCAATCAGACAATGAATAAAACTTTCATATATCATTTTTACTTTCATTTGCAAAGAAATAAATAGGCAAACATAACAGCAAAGATACCCAAGTTATTATAATGATATTGTTGTAAATAAGAATATCTTAAAGAGATTTAATATTATTTTATAATCTTTTATTATTTTCTTAATTTTTGTTTATTTTCATAATTACCTATTTTTGTGTGAAAAAAATTAATAAAAACCTCTCTTTTCACTTGATCTTGGGATCTCTATTTCCGCTATTCCAAAATCAAAAAAATTAGAGTAGCTGCCACCCTCTCCACCGCTGCCGCCACTACCGCCGTTGAAGTTAGCAGTGAGCCAGGAAGAAGCATCCATCGTCGGCAATCACAATGCTGTGAGTCACACAGCTAGAAACATCCCCACGTGTTGCCACAGTTCATCCCGTTTTCCGACTGTAGGACACGCGCCCATCTCCAGCAAGACCCGCTCGCCGGCGACCACCCAAAAAGGTTCGTCAACAACCGCCCAGCCCATTCCAAGGGGTGGTGTCATCCATATCCTTCCTCTTTAATGTAGACCTGAGTTCTTTGTCTCTTTCCTATTGTTTATTTTACTTTGTTCATCCATGGCCGGTGAAAAAGCCCCCCCTTTAGGACCTAATAACTTATCCAATATGTTGGGACTTAACACCCAATTTCGTCCTGGGTATCAAAACAAGACAAAAAGACTTTGAAGGCCTATGACACTTGGACAGACCAGAACAGCATTAAGAGACTCAAAAGCACAAAGGGTTGAAATAGGAGCTCGGAACATGCTATTCCTAAACTGGAAAGGACCGTTCCAAATCATAAAAAGGCCTAAAAACCCTAGGTCAGAACAGGCCGTTCCAAATCCAAAACGGGCCGTTCTGACCTAGGTTGTTATGAGCAAAATAATAATCTGGAACGGTCCATTTCAAACCATTCCAATTTCGAAACAGACCATTCCAAATTCAAAATTTTGGCCATAACAAACTAATCTGGAACGTCCCGTTCTGATTACCAGAACAGCCATTCTAGTTAGATTTTAGGCCTATAAATAGATGCCTCGTACACAATGCAAAAAGAGCAAAGTTGAACCAAAAATTTTGCCTATTTTAGACTGTATAGTTAAGGAATTCTGTCTCTCCCTTTTGTACCTCTAGAGTTTGGGAGGATATTTATTAGTGAGAAGGCTGTCAAAACACACCTACAAACCATCATTGAAGGAATTTTATAAAGTTTGCTTCGGAGGTATTTTCATCAAATTCTTCCCTTCTTCTTTTATCGCTTTTATCCATATTATATTGCCACAATAAAAAGCAAACATATAGATATTTTAGTCTCAAACGTGTAAAATCAATAGGTAAATAATCATTAATAAAGGGGATTAAATATTCAAACTATTATTCTTTATTATGTTAATTTCATCATAAGATACCAATTTACGACATTATAGGATGCCTAATACCTTTTTTACAAGTAATCGACTCCCGAACTCAATTCTGACTATGAAGGCCATAATTGATTTGCAAAAACCTTTTTTCTTTTTTCGATGTTTTGAGTAAAATATCAGTGCCTAATACCTTCCTATACTAAGCACTTTCTTTGACAAGGAACATAGTCCATAAATTTGAATGTGACCGTTCACGGGTATACGTTGCTTGAGCATATGTATGTTGCATTTGTTATGTGTTTTCTTCATTTCAAATAGATAAGGATTATAGGCAAATGAACGATACTAATAAAACTAACACCCTTCTATGTACCCTGACATTATCAAAAAGCATCATATAGATTAGTTTATTTCAAAAAATGCATATGCATCAGAACCCTTAGCTAAAACATGATAATACTTAGGCAAAAAATCACATGTCATGCATTTCTCCTAGGGTTGTAATTAATCGAGCATTCATTTTCTTTAGATATGGAAAGCATAGATAATTGCATGCATGGACCGTTGAGGAAAGTGAATATTCTAAATTATGCAATGTCAAGAGTCAACAACTTGTGTGTCTTAATGCCAAGAGAGGTCAAGGCGGATTTCGAGAAACATTGTGGAAGAATCCTTGACCTATTGAAGATTTCTGTTGACCCCGCCTTTATAAGAGTTTTTGTACACTTCTAGAAGTCGGCACTTCGTTGTTTTCAGTTCTCATACTTTGACTTAGTACCCACCATTGAGGAATACGACATAATGATTAGATGGCCCAAATACGAAGGGATTGAAGGACGTATATCCTCAGATAAGGTAGTTGAAATAATCAAACTACCCCTTCATTTATCCACTCTAGAGGGCAACGGGACAATCAAAGGATGGAAGCTCTCTATACTTGAAGGTCACATTTCCCTCCTATCTGAGCAAGAGGATTGGATGCACTTCAATAAGACACTCGCCTTAATCATGTTTGGGATAATCCTTTTTCCATTTCATGAGAAGGTAATAGACCACGTCACAATTGACGCCTTTTGTGCTTGCGATGCACACCTGAAGAGTCTCGTGCCTGCCATTCTTGCTGACACCCTAATTACTGTGAACTTCTGTAGTCAAAAATCAAGAAAATAAATGAGATGTTGTAGCCCGCTACTTTATGTTTGGGCATGTACCCATGTCTTCACCAAGGGACATATGGAAAGGCTACCATACCCATTGAGAAATTTTCCTAGAATCCCCTTGTCAAGGAAATACGCCATGGCTTGGAAAGCCAAATTGGAAGATTACACCAAAGACTCTTTCACATGAATGTGTCCATGGTTTCGTCCAAGTCAAGTACTTATCCAATGTGGCACGTTTCCTAACATACCTTTGATGGGATTAAGAGGATGCATAGCCTACTCTTCGACACTAGCATTAAGACAGCTTGGGAGGATGCAGACTTTGCCAAATCCGAGAGACCTCAAAGGGGTTTGTTTCTTTTACTCCTCCAATCAATGGATAGACACCATCAAGGAAGCTTGAAAAAAGTCATTCTACTCTAGAGACGACAAACTTGGTAGACCCCGAATAGCTTCTTCAAACGATTACCACCAATGGAGAAGTGAAAGAGGAGTCAAGGACAAAACCAAACCGGTGAACCAACACGAGAAACAAGTCGATACCTTGACTAAGAAGATAGAAGTTTTGGAAGCCCATGTAAATGTAATGGCCCTAGAAGAAAAGGATGAGGCATCCAAACTTAACATCGATAGTCTACAAAGGCAGTGCAGGAAGAAGGACATGGAGATCGAATGATTGAAGGATGAATGTGTCAACTGTAATACACAGTCAATGAAGACTCCAAGAGTTGATTCACATAAGCAACTCACGAAAGCTTTGTCAAAGGTAACACAACTCGAAGTCAAGCTCCACGAGCAAGCACAGGAAACAAAGCAGGCACAAAGAAGCCTATCTATGGCCCAATATGAGGTCCAGGTTTGGTGGGAAATAACCCAAGAAAGAGTTGCCACCATTTTCAACTTTCAACTAAGGGAGGAAAAAGGCTCAAGCAGCTTAGAGAAATCACCCACCAAAAAGACCAAGCTCTAGAAGAAGTTCAAAAGCTAAATACAACAAAAGAAAGATAGGGATTTGTAGCTATGCAGGCTACGCAAAAGATTACACAAGCTCCCAAGGATTTTGGAGCGCTGATATACCATGTTACAAAAAACTGTTTCTTATTTTATTCATGGCAGAGCAATTACTCTTAAATAGAATACAAATAACTTAATTAAGGAAACCCTAATTTACGATAGACACAGTCTATTCCTATAATTCAAGGTCAATGATCCTGTACAATAAATACAAAAAAAAAATATTCAGCCTATCCTCCTAATTGTGAAATGCAATTAAATCTATACTAGAAAATATTATCTTCAGCATATTTCCAGGGATTCTGACACTTATAGTGATGTGGATTGGGCAAGTTGTCTTGACACTCGAAGCTATGTCTTCGGGTGGTGTATGTTCCTTTAACCCCCCTACTATATATTGTGATAACCTGAGTACAATTGTTTGATCCCACAATCTTATTCTCCATGCAAGAACCAAACACATGGAATTAGATAGCTTCTTTCTTCTAGAGAAAGTCATCAACAACAGCCTTAAAGTCCTACACATACCATCAGATGAACTATGTGCAAATATCCTAATTAAGGCTCACTTTCCTACATGGTTTAAATATCTTCAGAACAAGCTGAATGTGTTCTTCAAAATCTTGCTCAACCACCTATAGCTTGAGGGAGGCATGTTACAATAAAATAATTGATTGTATTCTTTTTAGTTAGCTTAATTCATGGTGGCCCAAGTTACTTCAATGGACATGCTGTGTTGTATCTTTCTTTCTTCTGTTTTTAATTCTGATAAGTTTCCGTTAGGGTTCAGGTTTATCTGAACTGAATCCAATTGCCTATATATACTAGGCTTGATGTACTCCATTGACATAATACAAAATATACAGTTTATCTCAATTCTCTGTCTCTCATACATAGAATTCTAATAGCTAAAAGCCACCTTTCATTTGTCTTAGAAATTAATATTCCTAGATATGTATGGAGGATATTTTCTTTTGAAACATCCAAATGCTAAAATAGTACACCAAGTGCATAGCACAAAAATGTGAATCCCTCAGACCACCATGAATCTTTACAAACTAAATCTTCTTGAACATTGCTTACTTTCCTTTATATTTGCATGACTTACTTAATATTATATTTCTCAAAATAGTCCTTTCTGAATATTACTTTAATTGATAAATTGTGAGCAGAAAAATTTATAATAGAAGGCACTGATTTTCCTTTTGGGGGAAGGGCATAGTCCCGCCTTCACTACTCGTGTTTACTCCTGTTGCTCTCCTATGTATTGGAAGAGCAATGTAAAAACCTGGTTTATATTACCAAAAAAAAAAAAGCACCTTATTTTCAAGTTTCAACCCAAGAATATCAGCCACCGTGATTTAAATTTTTGGCTTTCATATCCTTATTTTCCCATTTCTGGAATGCTTTCCTAAATGAGACCAAAATAATATATTTTCTTCTCCTACACACTTCCAAACTTCAATAGGAATACCCTCTAGACTAACAGTTTTACCATTGTCTATCCTCTTAAAGGCTTCTTTTACCTCTCCAACCTGAATTCTACAACAGTAATCCAAATTTTGCTCTTTTTTTAGATTTCTGGCTCTTTCATGTTTAAGTTAAACCTTGTTCGTCATTGAAAAGCTTATAAAAGTAATTCTCCCATCTTTCTTTGACATCTTCATCAGTAACCAAATCTTAATTCTTAACTTGATCCACATTTCTTGTTTTCCTTTCTATTTTGCATAAGCTTCCTAAGCTTAAAAATTAAAAGAAAATTATAAGAGGTGACTCATCTATTTTTTTTTCCATGAAAAAGAATATAGCAGTTTCATAATACTTCTAACATAAGATATGAAAACACATTAGTACAATTAGAAGGGTGTATTTCTACATGATAAATTCCTCTTGAAAGTGCCCAAATGACCATCACACATTAAACTGTTACCTTTCTCTGGAGCATGTCTTTGCATTGTAACTGATGAATCTTGTGACAAAGTGCTTCAAGCTTTTCCTCAAGAAAAGCAGTTTCTGAAGTCTCTTGATGTAATAAACCTAAGAGTGGCAACTTGTTCTTACGTTTCTTGGCCATAGAACTCTCTCTCAAGTCCTCTATTTTTCTTGCAAGGGACTTTGCTTGGTTCTACATGTAACAATATCTGTGAGAGGATCCATTACACACGAAAAATCAAACTAATTTTTTCTTCTTTGATGCTTTGAACAAATGCTTAACATCAGTGTTCCTGCCATGACTGAATAAGAAGATAATTTATTCCATTACTTCAGGAAAATGCTCCATTAAATCATTACATGTAAAAAGAGTGTATGTATTTTGAGGACAATTAATACACTTATCTCATGTAAATATATGTTCAAAAGAAAGGTAGCCGGTGAAAAATGCACAGCCATAAATGTCAGGGTCTTGAGGGATGAAGTGCTTTATAATCATTACTATGTTAGACACAGGAAAATAATATCTTGCCACTTAAAAATTAGGTTCAACATATTTCATCTTGATACATTTATATTATAGATCCAAATAAAAGTACTGTCTGGTTTGCAAAATTCAAAATATGGAGATTTTGTTGGAAGAAGCTATGTTATTCTAATCTATTTATCCATCTATCTATCTTCTATCTATTTATTTATAAAAGTTGGGCAACAGAACTACATGTCAACACATGTAAAACAATACGGCTATAGTTATAAGATGCGACATCACAAATTTTGCTGATGTGTCATTCTCTGCTTCCTCCATTTATATGTCTCTTCATTTCTCAACTTTTACCTACTCAATGACTTTAATTTAAGATTAAAACTCTTTCGTAACTCATTACAATTACGTTAAAAACTTTTATAACCCCTTTTTTTACAGTTGAATGGATGGCATTATAAACTTTTCTTTTGTCTAATAGGAAGTTTAAATCATTCCTTCACTTTTCAATCTTTAACTTTTATTTTTCCCTTTTAAAACTTAATTTGCAAACATCCATTTGAATAAAATGTGTACATGATAGTCTTATAATAACTTTTCAACTACATTAATCTAACATTTTTTATTACTCGAAATAAAAATAATATTCGTAACATGTACTGAAACTACATTTTTAAACCACTAGGGTCGGCCTACCTAGTAGTGGGGAGATGTATTATACACAAAATCCTGCATTCAAATCTTAGTATTGTCATTATAATTTCGATGGATAAAAACAACACTACATTTTTTTTAATTAGTGAAAAAATACAATAAAATTTGAATAAAGTCTGCAGATAAATGCTCTACTGAATCAGATTATGGGATGGGAGTATGCACTTTTTGGAATACACATGGGAAAAATTTGTCATCTAATAAGGAAAGGCCAAAGTTGAGAACATTTAGTGTGTCTCACAAACAACAAAAATATAATTAAATATGTGCCTCGGACTTGCATTGTTACATACATGATTTTGTAGATGACATGAAAAGAGACAAGATGGAGTGCCTCGTGAAAGAAGAAAAAAAATTTCATGTTTAAAATGGTGAAAATTGCTGCCTAATCTAAATTCCACTGCATTTTACCTATATATAACTCTAAAAGAGAAATGACAATGTATTATTACATGACACACTTTTTATCAAATAATTTAGGGTTATTTCATCTATATGACCCAAATTATAATATTGTTACACCCATTATATTGTTTTAAGAAGAAAAGTAAAGAAAAGATATAAAAGGAGACAATTTTTGCACTATAATTATAAATTTATTTAGGCATATATTAATATATTAATATTAAATTCCACTCATGTAATGCCCGGATCACCATCTACTTTTGTATAAATCAGAATTTGAATTATATAATTTATGGAAATTTGACAAAAAAAAGCTATTAATTGTCAGCAGACGTTACAGAACTATCAATGTCACTAAAGCTTCCTTCGATAAATTGCCTATGTTCTACATAGCTGAGGCCACTAGAACTCTAGAAGTATTCTGTTTCTCTCAGTGACAGGACATATGTTATCCCCTAGTAAATCCTGGTGGGGTGAGTGTTTTAGTTTTTTTACTAACCCTGATTAAAAAGAAAAGAAAAAAAAGCATCATGATTTCCCAAAACTAAGTATATGATTTATAAAACACGAAATTGGGAAGTAGGAGCTCTTAAGAAAGTAGTCTGAAGCTTAACTCAACTTTACAAAACTAGTTAGTAAGTTAAAGGTCGTCTCTTACTTATATACACTAGTATGATCATGTCTTTAGTCGATGTAGAATCTTCAATAGGAGCATCTGAAATAATACTTTTTTACAATTTGTTTATCCAATGCTCAAGATTAACATGTAGCAAATTAAGGATAAATTGCTATCAAGTAGCACATAAACATCACGCAAAAGAATCTTAATGGTAAATTGTAATAGGGCATAATTGCATAACTTACAACTGACTCCTCAAGATCTTCAGTGTTGTACACCATTTGATAGCAATAGTAAGTGTTTGGATAGTGTTTACTGAAGAAATGATCAACACAGTGAACCTTGTGTTCCATGCATAATGGAATTTCACGAACTAGGATAGTAAATTGATCAGGTCTATCCTTTAACTTTTGAATTTGCTGAATCCTTCGAATCAATATTTCATTGTATTCCTGATTATGCATGGAGGCAATAATAACATTAATTTGATTAAACAGTAGCTTTGCTGAGCAACAAGGTTAGTCTAATGCTCTAAAACTACAACCATGTCTCTGAGCATTATTGTTAGGAAAAAAATATACAATGATTCTAATAAGCGTTTTTTGACAACAATGCCAAACTTCACCTTGTACAGTAGGAACATCCCATAAAAAGATATAAAACACAAGCATGCAAAATGCACCCAGAGCCTGTTAGAAAATCATAAAAACTAGATCAGTTTTAATGCTATGTGTATCACTTAAAAGTGACAGTCAGAATAACATTTGGGCTAAATCACAAATACTACAACAAGACTAAAAAAAAATTGTGCAATAAAACAGCCAATAAATAATGACCTGCTACCTTGTCCAGGATTTAAGGTTATTTAAAGAGATTCCACAATATATCAAAGAAGAAAAGATTCAGAGGCTCCAAAAACCTCTCACCTCTGTATTGGCACAAGGAAATATATCAAACATCAATACTGTACGTTTGAAAACTATCTGCTGGAAACATGGGAAATTCAGCTTCAAACGCAGGCAATACATCACCATAACAATGTTTTAAAAATGTTTTGGCGCAACAAAATAAATCAAACATCAATACTGTACATTTGAAAACTATCTGCTTGAAACGTGGGGAATTCAGCTTCAAACGTGTGCAATAATAATACATCACCATAACAAAGTTTTAAAAATGTTTTGATTGAAAGTTTTTCTAAATGCAAGTATTATATTGCGATTAAGTGTTCATCTCCAGTATGATAACAAGACTACAAACCAATGATGATTGAACAGCTGTCCAATGAGGCAATCAATCTCACTTCATCTGTTAGGTTATTTGGGATAAACAGTTTATTTCTCCTTTTCTAATAAACAAAATAGAAATTATGCAGAGACTTTGAAATCAATTAGTGCCATAATGGAAGAAACCAAATTTGCTAGCACAAAAGAAATGGCCCATGGAATTTATGAGAATTTTGGTCTCGGCCTTACTCAACTCCAAAAGTTAGCTCATGAAGTGAGGTTACCCCCTACTTATGTACACAATTTGTTGACCATATCACTTGGAATTTCTAACACACACCTCTCACACTGAGTTGAACTAGACATCTTAAGTATGAAGTTTGTAGAACTAAACATTTATAAGTAATTCATTAGACTTAACAACAACCACTACAATAGTCTCTCAAACCATTTTAGAATTTGAGGTTGGGTCTAGTTCAACCACAATAGCTAATTAAGTGAGAGTTGCCTCTACAAATATATTTTCTTGTCATATTAGTCGATGTTTGATCTTTAATTCAAAAACCTTCTCTTAGCCATGTCTCTTTAGCTTGCATAACATCCACTAAAGACTCAAAAATAAACATTTTTCCTACCCATTTTACCAAAGAATCAGTAACATGTATGGGAGACTTACAAATTCGGATATCCTGGTGATTCATGAATGTATTTCAAATTTAGGATACATTAACAAGAAAAAATGGTTTATTAACAATTATAAATCATAAATTGGAAATATAATCCATAACAGGCGGATATTTATATCCAGAGCTTGGGCAAAAAAGTCCCAGAAATTTAAGCTAAACTGTGTTCCTAGAAATACTTAGGCCATGCTGTGAATTATCAAACCGAAGAGCATTAGTAAGGAAAATTGAACACTTTTTTGGTAGGAAATTTCCTAAAGTTGAAACTAAAAGGGAAAAAAGAAGTTAACTAAAAAAAGCAAAAAATCACATGGGGAACAGAGTGGTTGAATACTAAATTTTTATTTTTATTTTAACCAAAGAATACTAAATTGTTATTAGTAGTGCTGAACAAAATTGAATATTTTTCTAATCAAATCGTTCCATTTAATTTTCATTAATGTTATTCTTTTCCCACAGAAAAATCATTGTTTAAACACATCCATTAAACTTGTGTGCTTGAAGATAATGATTCAAAATTATCATACCCAATTCACAGAAACTATTTCTTAAATTTACAGACATCTATAGGAGGGGAGTGAAATCAAAGTACTGCATACAACTCTAGCATTAGATATTGTAAATCTTCCGAAACAGCCTCACCTTTTAGATCCTCTTCTAACATTAGATATTGTAAAAGAATCCATTGTAAAGTAGCTTCCATTTTGAACCTCCTGGGAACCATAATTAATCGGGAGAAGAACCACCAACCCAACAAGAGAACACACCGCAAAAAACTTAAGGCTGCAAACCCAAAAGTTAATAAATAAAAATAAGGATAGAATAGTAAAATTAAGCAAGGCATGTCACATAATTGCATATAATTTAACATCATGGATGTAGAACAGTGAATACTTCATGAATCCTCCCCATATTCCATAGGATAAACCTCTGTTCTTTCCCTTTTTAATTTTTACAAATCAATTTTTTTTTTAAATTAGCATATTTTACTATCAATTTCAATGTTAGAAATTATATTATACCTCGACTTATGTTTTTAATTGTGGGATTCAGGTTCATCTATAAATTTAATATTTAATATTTTGTAGAAAAGCTAACATGGCAGTTGTTAGCATGAAACATGACAAGTTAGTCTAGTGGTGAAGACTTTGAGTAGTACAAGTCATGAGTTTAAACTCCGATGGCATCAATTTAATTCCGACAAATAAATGAAAAAAAAAAAGACTACCATAACAAATTGACAATACATTAATACAACAAAGTGTTGCAAATATTGAATGTATTTTTGTTATTGGTCGAAACGACCAATAAAGTTTGAACATGTCTTTATACATATTATCTCAACATTTCACTAACTAAAGATTGAATTAATGTTAATATTTAAAACATTAAAATTGTAAATCAAAATACCAGAAAAAAATTCAAAAAGAAAATAAATAGGTCAGATTTACTAAATTAAAAATAGAAAATTAAAAATACATTTAAGCCACTTTTTCTTTCCTGCTACGCTATTATCTCTAACTATGTGCACCGAATACTAATCCCATATAAGTCATTCTTCCTTTTTTGGGTAATAGAAATGTTTAGAGTATGGTAAAGCACTATCCAAACAAGATTAGAGGCTTAGAGCTAACTATTGATCTATTTCAGAATTTTCGGAGGAATTACCAATAATTGACCCTATCTTCAACACAGGTTTACATAAAATGATATAAAATACAAGAAAACTCATATTCGAGACCATGTCCTAGCTAGTAGGAGTACTTAACCAGTTGTGCGGCAACCACCCTTATGGGTCCATATAAGCCATTTTAAAATAAGATATTTTTAAAATAATAACATTAAATATAAAGTTAATAAAAATTTACTTATATTACAAAAGTTTTAGTTTGTTCATAAGAGGAAGTAATAACAAGTTTTACTAATCGCGGTAAAACTTGCTATGAATAATGAAACATTTTATCTGAGACAAAAATTATTTAACGCCACTTGCAAATCCTTTAACACTGGCTGGACATTTACCTAAAAAATGATCAGTTCATATTTCAACATCTTTTTGAATTATTCAATAACGGTAATTAAGAATGAAAAAGCAGAAAAAGCGCGAGAGAAAGAGAGCGAAACCGGGAACTGACCCGAATTTGAAGAGCCTGATGATGACAAGAGCGTCGAGTCCATGAGCGTCGAGGATCTGGTCTTCGGTGACGCGGAAGGCGCGAGAAACCCAGGCGAGGGAGGGGAGGAAGCGGTGCAGCGGCGAGGAGGGAGAGTGGAAAGGGACGTGGAGGCGGCGAGCGAGAGGGCGAGCGTAGTAGATGAAAGCGTTGGAAGGTTGCTTCTTGAGGACGGAGAAGAGCGAGAGAATTACGAACGCTAACCCTATGTTTATGGCTGCAGAAGCCATGAGGCTGTGAGGGTTCATTTTGCAGTGAGACAAAATGCGGAATGGGAATTGGAAAGAGAGAGAGAGAGAGAAAAGCAAGCGCAGTGGTGTGGTGTGGTGTGGTGCGGTGTGGTGTGGCGTGGTGCCTTTGGAAATACGTGGCAGAGGCTCAAGTGAGGAGGACGTAACTGTCCCTGGCAGTATTTGCATGCCGTTTCAGTGCCACCTTATTATATGGATCAGACTTCCAAGTTAAAATTACCTACATGCCAAACATTGGTTTGTATAAATACAAAATCGGATTTAGCTCCGAGCAATTTCACTAGTCAACTAATAAAATCAATAGTTCATAATATAATTAATTTTATATATTATTTTGAAAGAATTTGATTTTACATAAATTTTAAGTTTGAATATAACTTTTGCTTTTGTAATTTATCTTTTTTTATTTTTAGTTGTAAATTTTTTTGTTGTTATTTCATCTATAATTTTTTATAATGTTTTAAAAATAGTTTCTGAGGAATATATATTATATTCGTTATATTCTATTTTACTATTGTAAGTAAATTGATTTTAATTTTTTTAGATAAAATTTAAAATCATATTTCATAGTTATCACTTTGTCATACCCTTCACGTGTATCGAATCTAAAATATGGAATGTCTCCTCTTGGCTATTGTCGGTGGCTGAGCTAAACCACTGACCTCCTTTCTTTAATGAGGTGTCCTACTCGTCACTATTATAGCGATCGTAGTAGGTGGCGAAGGTATTGATGATCTTGAGCCAACCACCACAGCTTTTCTTAGCCTTGAAGGAGGCAACATTGGTGGTAGATTGATACTGCTAGCAAAGTGGTGGATGCTCCAGTGATGCATCCTACATGATGGGAAAGTAATTAAGTGGGAGGACGAATTCCTCCATGGGGATTGGTGACAAAAACTCGCATGTTTTCTACAATGAAGTAATAACGTTAGTCAAATGAAGTAAGAAGAACAGTTGAATGGAACATTGAGTATTTTTATACTAGTTCGCCTCAACTACTAAGACTATGTCTAATTCTCAATCCAACCAAATTGAGTTTCACTATTTTTAAACAAAGATACAAGTATTCTTTTAGCAAAACCACTTTTAACTCAACCTTCAGTATTCTTTGACTTGCCTCTTCAAACAACTAGCCAAGTATTCTTTAACAACAAGCCTCTCTCCATGTTTAACAACCAAGTATTCTTTTACAATTAAGTCTCTCCAAGTCTGAAACAAGTATTCTTCTATAGACAAACCTCTCCAAGCTCAACAACCAAGTATTCTTTTATAGTCAAGCCTCTCTAGGCTCAAAATAAGTATTTTTTTACAGACAAACCTCGTCAAGTTTAACCTTATAACAATGGTTATAAAGGTTACTCAAATGTTGTATTTGTCTCACTTAAAAGTTATACAACCAATTATAGAGCAATGAATATATATAAGAAAGAATAAATTTTCAAAGAGTTTTTCTATACAAATGTATATGTATCAATTACATTTGGTGTCTCTCTTGTAAATTGTATGTTCTGTCTTTGTTGAGTGTGACACCCTCTACCCCAACATACATATATAATAATTATAAAAACATCTTCTTGGGTTAAATAAAATCTTTAGAATTAAAACAATGGTTCCACTAACATAAGAGTAAAGAATTTACATTCGTAAACTTAAATCATGGTCAAATGCAGAATTTATAAGAAAATGAAACATGAGTTTTTTTCAAACCAAATTAAAATAACAATAATGAAATCCTAAACTAAGCCTAGTTACGTCCCGATATCACATATCCTATCAGAGCACACCCAACTAAAGCCTAAGCCTCATCACCAACATTCTCATGTTGATGATCACCTACAACACAATTTAAATACATGCAAAGAACAACAAGGGAGTGAGAAATATCTCACTTAGGTTCAGGTGCAGAAATAAAGGTTAGGTAACACACATAATAAACATAATACAAGTCACAAGCACAAATTACATATGAACAATACACATACACAATCAGTATCACATGCACACTCATTTATCATGCACTGATGTCAGGGACTCCACTCATAAATGCATGCATGTGGCGCCAATCACATATCACATATCACTGGTGTGCTTCCTAAACAACACACCGGAGATAGTCTAGGAGCACATGTAGGGAGTTACCCATACACTCTCAACTAGAAGGATGTATTGCTAGGGTCTGGTTGGGATAGCGAAGCTGTGCAAGATACGTCTCGTGCTTACAAACGGGCGGAATCAAGATATCCAAACCGCACTATCCCCTAGGACTCCCTCGAGCTATTAGACAGGGAGGGCCTTCCCTAACGGCGTACTTCATATCGTACCCGTCACCTAGATGCACATGATGCATGTCACACACATTCACACTTCATGGACTCATCACTTTACTTGTCATGGAACTTCATGTCTTATCTCATTTCATCACGTGTCACATTCTCATAGTCATAGTGTTCACAATAACACGTATTTCACATCATGTCTCATAAAACACATCACTCATGTAATCACAGTAATAAGACAATTCTGACACAATATTTGCACCATCAAACAAGACATAAAGCATGTAAAACATCATAAGGGTCACGCCCGGCGTGCCCCAACTCGCGCCCGGCGCATTAAATGTCACACCAAAAGTGGAGCATCATGCCCGACACACCTTGAGCGCGCCAGGCAAATTTAATGTCGCGCCTAAAGCGAAGAATTCTGCCTGGCGTAGCTTCACACGCGCTTGACGTGACTTTCCTATGCCCGGCACAACTTTCTTACGCCTGGCGCAACTTTCTTGAGCCCAGCTTAATTTTCTTGCGCTTGGCGCAACTTTCCTGGGAAACTATGAATTTGTGCTCGGCACAAAGAACTGCGCCCAACGCACTTAGTGCGAACCTACAATTTGAAATCAGACGATTTTTCACAAAAAACATGTAATCATATAAATCAATCGTAAAAATCCTCCAAATAACACCTAGAACATAAATACATACTCAATTTTACATAAAATACCTTAAATCTTGTCAAAAGATCATACCCCTAATTGTTTTTCAAGGGTTTCCCATGGGAACCCACAGAGCACTCTAATTCATATCAAAATTTATCTGATTTCGAAATTAAACACATATTCACACATCACATCCAACAAGGAACACAACAGAAAACTCATACATCAAAACAGAAAACATTCATATTTTTCCTGTTCCTAGAAGCATGCATCAGGTAAGGAATTGGAGGCCAATCCTGCTACCCAACAATTATTCCCACACCCCCGAGCGAGGTTTCTCACTTCCTCCTTACCTTGATGAACAGAAGATGAAGCACGAGCGAAATCGAGTTTGTCTCCGTCGTTGGGTTCTCCTTGGTCTTCAGAGAGTGTAGAAAGAAAATGAATAAGTAAAAGTCAGGAGAATGAAGCGTAATGTAACTTCTGATAACTCCCTTCTTAAAATAATAATAATAATAATAAACAAAAGACTAACAAGGCCTTCTTTCTCTTCCACTACAAAAAAATCAAGTTTTAGCGACCACCAAAATCGGTCGCTATTTAGGTTATTTCAGTCGCTGTTACGCTCAACAATCGAAATAGTGACCGAAAAAATCCGTTGCTAAAACCCTGGTCGTTATTATCAATAGTGACCAAAATTTTTTCCGACGCAAGTTAGCGACTGAAAAATCCGTCGCTATACATTCATAATCCGTCGTTATAATATTGGTCTCCTAACTTCTCGAGACCAATTTTGCGACCGAATTTTTTGGTTGCAAGTTCTGTCGCTAATTTTCTTTTTTTATTTTAAAAATCGATTTCTAAATCCGTCGCAAAAAACCTGAAATAGCTACCAATAAAATCGGTCGCTATTTCGGTCGCTAAAAACTTGAAATAGCTACGAATTAGTTTGGTCACTATTTCGGTCGCTAAAAACTTAAAATAGCTACAAATTATTTCAGTCACTATTTTCGTCGCTAAAAACTTTAAATAGCTACGAATTATTTCGGTCGCGATTTCGGTCGTTAATAACTTTAAATAGCTACGAACTATTTCGGTCGCTATTTCGGTCGCTAATAATTTTAAATAGCTACGAACTATTTCGGTCACTAAAAACTTGAAATAGCTACAATTCATTTTGGTCTCTATTTCGGTCGCTAATGTTAACGAGTATTTTTTTAATTATTTTTAAATTATAAATTTATACCTGTTAATAAATATGAAATTAACAATATATTTATTACACAATTTATAATAATAAACTAGAACATACTAAAAGACATAATCTCATCGATGTAAATTTATATTATTATAGTGAAAACTAAATAAAATATAACTATGTCAATATGGTATGCTAAAAACACGATAATAACATAAAACGTTTAAACTTCAACAAAGTATTAGTGAAATACAACAAAATATCCTGAAACAAGTAAAATAAAGAAGCTTAATTAAGGGTCTTCTACTATCTCATCAAGAGCCATGCTCAGGATCTTCTGGGGTAGTACTTGGTGGAGGAGGGGTTGGTCTTAAAGGGTCAATGTTAAGATGGCGTAGTATATACTGCATCTGCTCATCATGTTGTCGTATATGTTCTTCCAATGCTTTTTCCTTTGCTTCCTTTGCAGCAAGCTCAACATTTAATTTTGTTATCCTATTTTGCATTTCTTTTATCACCCCTACAGTGACTGGTGATGGCTGTGACATAGAAGATTGTGGAAGTGTTGAGTGAATGAAATCATCGGTCAATCCAGCAAGCCCATACAAGTTCTCCTTCGTATTCTTTTTAACCACCTGCAAATAAACTTCATTATCGCTAATACAAGTAGAAGCAGATCCCTCTGTAGCTTGTTGCTTGACTTCAATTAGACGCTCCTATATTTCTCCTAAAAAAATAAAAAATATTATTTCAACATAAATTTCAAGACAACATATTCTTTGATTTTAATTCAGCAAATAATTCTTATTTTATAGCAAATAATTTCAAGACAACAGAATCCACAACTGATATATTTAAACCCTTCTTAGAGTTATAAAATTAATTGGGAAAAGAACACTCACTCTAACACTCTTTTAATTATTGATTCAGAATCATAAATTTTAGTTAATTTTACCACTAATCAGAATCACAAATTATAGATACAATAATCAAAAAAATAGTAATTTTTAATATGTTTCGACCAATA